TGCAGGTGGCATCCGAGGGCACATCCAGGAAGCCAGAGCCGTCCGGGAACACGGAGACCAGGCCGGCAGGACTGAGGGGCAGCGTCAGGGCCCTCCGGCCTCCCTGCCCCACAGGGACCAGTGACAGGTCCGCCTTTGCCCCAGTGGACCTCACTCCAGGAGAGCCACCGTAGCATGCGCTGGACTCCAGCAGCCCCAGGAGGTGGAGCTAAGCGTACACGTAAACAGCCGTCACGCCTGCCGGCTTCTGTGCCAGACTCTTCTAGGATGTTCTAGAATGTTCCGGCCTAGTGTTGGCAAATAAAGCTCTCTGTGATGATGGAAATGGTCTCGCTCCCCTCTGTCCAACTCGAGTCGCCGGCCATACGCGATCATCAACCACTGAAGCGAGGCTGGGACAATTAGAAACTGATTTTTAAATTTACTTATTTATTCATTTTTTGAGTTGCAGTCTCACTCTGTCACCCAGGCTGGAGTGCAGTGGCATGCTTACGGCCACTGCAGCCTCGACCTGCTGGGCTTAGGTGATACTTCTGCCTCAGCCTTCCAAGTAGCTGGAACTACAGGCACACACCACCATGCCCAGCTAATTTTTTGATCTATTGTAGAGATGAAGTCTTGTCATGTTGCCCAGGCTGGTCTCGAACCCCTGGGCTCAGGCAATCCTCACACCTCCACCTACCAAAGTGCTGAGATTATAGGCGTGAGCCATCGTACCTAGCTAAATTCAGGTTTCTAAACCCAAAAAATATAGGACCAAAAAACACAAATAAAAACCACTTGTTAATAAATGCCAAAAGAGTGGAGTATTTCCGGGGATGGAGAGTGAGATTGACAGTAGTGGGATTCTGCCAGGGGAGGAGAGGGCACACCTCATTAACAAGGTTACCTGCATAATGAACATTTGTATACTTAACCCTGAATTGTACCCCACATCTTTAAAATAAAAAATTAAAATAAATAAATAATTTTTAAAATACCAAAAGAAATCAAATTCAAGAATAATTTTTGGGGCACAGTGGCTCACGCTTATAATCTTAGCACTTTGAGAAGCTGAGGTGAGAGGATTGCCTGAGTTCACAGGAATGAGACCAGCCTGGGCAACTTGGTGAGACCTCATCTCTACAATAGATAAAAAAATTAGCTGGGCATGGTGGCATGCACCTGTAGTTCCAGCTACTTGGAAGGCTGAGGCAGAAGGATCGCCTGAGTCCAGCAGGTCAAGGCTACAGTGGTTGTGAGCTTGCCACTACACTCCAGTCAGGGTGACAGAGTGAGACTCCAACTCAAAAATAATAATTTACTACTACTACCAATTAGTTTTAGTCTAAAACTGCAGTTATTTGATATTAAGAAATAATACTTTACTATCAGTGGATTTAATGAGGTAAAAAATTACATCATCAGATGATTTAAAAAACTCTAAAAAAACAAGGACACAAATGCAATGAATAGACCTTGTTTAAATTCTGGTTCAAACAAAACAACTCTAAATAAAATTTATAAAGCAATCAAAGGATCTGAGCATAGACTAGGTATATACTTATTTATTTATTTATTTTGTAGAGACAAGGTCTCACTATGTTGGCCAGGATGGTCTTGAACTCCTGGCCTTAAGCAATCCTCCTGCCATAGCCTTCCAAAGTGCTGGGATTACAGCCATCACAGTCACCTGGCCCAGACTAGATATTTAATAACTACTTTTTAGGGTTTCAAAATGATGATATAGTTATGTTAATGAGTTAGAGTCCTTAACTTACTTTTAGAGATACATACTGAAATGAAACATTATGTCTGAATTAGATTTAAAATAACCCAATGGGGATGGGAATGCCATAGTTGAAACAAGACTGGCATAAATTGAACATTGTTGAAGTTGATATTGGATATATGGGAATTCTTTCAAATATTCTCTTTACTTTTATATATCATTGAACATTTTCTAGACGGAAGTTAAAAAACAAAACAGAGCCGGGCTCGGTGGCTCAGCCTGTAATCCCGCGCCTTTGGGAGGCTGAGGTGAGTGGATTGCCTGAGCCCGCGGGTTCGAGACCCGCCTTGGCAGGCGGGACCTCATCTCTACAATAAATCAAAAAATCAGCCGGGCGTGGTAGCGCATGCCTGTAATTCCGGCTACTTGGAAGGCTGAGGCGGAAGGATCGCTGG